CGAGCCCACATACGATGCATGATAAATCTACGGCGGTGGTGGATGCTGTGGATCACGGTCGCGAATATAAGGGAGATAATGAAAAAAAAAAAAGAAGAAACGAGGAGGACGGAGTACAAGCAGACAGAGTGGGACGGCTTGCACGTGCAATTTACTAGTATCCCTTTAATTGCGAGCCGCCGAGGATACGATTACCTCCGGTAAAGGACGCGGAGATCCTCGTAGTGTTCAGTGACGTCGAAAGTGGCATCGATTCGGTTTAATCGGTTTCAACGAGCGGCAATTTCCACCAGAGGGACAAAATTGTCGTTATCGCTGTTAGAATGATTAGGAAGGAATTCCCATCGATTCTCCACACCTTATCTTTAATTGTACTCTTCCAGGAAGAAAGGTTTCTTTCTTGATCAATTTGACTAACTAGAATTTAATCGTTCTCAGAATTTCCTAGTTTCGGTGAGAAATTTTTAACGAAGTATCTTATCACGATTCGATTAATTGCCCCTGATTTTTAATAAAGTCCACGTAGATCGTTGTCCTTTTAGAAGGATTAATTTTTACTGTATATATAATCTGGTAAGTGTTGAAATTTTTGCAAATCTTGAAAATATTAATCACGGTACCGATTAATTAACCAATTTCCACGCCACTGTACATCGAGGAGAAAATGAACGAGAGGGGAATAGAGTGGGAATTGGTGGGAGAAGAGACGACCTTGCGACTTTCAGCGGCAAGGCTGCACTTATTGCACCGAGCGTGCCATCATAACAGTCTAGGTTCACTGCACCGTTCCCCGTACCTGTGCTATTTCTTGGTCAGGATGACTGGTATCCTCGATTAGCCGCTCTGTTATTTACCCAGATCCCTCTGGGCGTTCGACAGGACTGGTTCAATTAACCAGACGGTCGTTCTTTCGCTTTCGTATACTCGCAATTCTCGCGTCCTCGCCTTCTAACGTTTTTCTACCACGTTTTATTGGATTTTCCTCTCCGCCGTGTGGTAAACAGGATCTTCTCTTTCGTTTATAAAGTTTCGAAGAACAACTCCGGCCGACAGTTTCTCCGCTGGAGAACTGGTTCGATCAAACTGGCCATTCCGAGATCTCCAAGGACGTACTTCGTTCTTTACATCTCGCAGCTTCGAGAACTGGAAGATCGATCATGGTTTTTCAAACAAAGCCTCGAGAGACGGTGGCAGTTTCGAGGGAAAATTCTTTCCCACTTTATGGCGAGCTACGTCGAAGTATATTTGGACGATTAGTATGAATTTCTCCGATCACTTCGATTCCTCCGCGATTTTTCCAACGGTCGCCGGCGAATTATCCGCAAGGATGACGGCACGGTTAACTGTACAGCCCGATTTCCTGAATCGTGAGCCGCGGTCTCATCACACACAATTGATTTTAATTCGAGGCCATGCGTTTCGAGCGTACAGTTACGCGGCTCTGTGTCTCTCTTTTGTTTCTGTTAATCCTTCGTTGCTAAACGCTGCAGCGCGAGTGTCGAAATTCTCTCTAAGATCGCCAGAGTCGTGTAAATTGCACCGTGGAAATGGTGGATCTAATAAAATTACACTTTCCTCGTCGAACGGTACAATTAATAAAATGAAAGATTAACAGCGTCATGTACGAGCCGTGTTATGATTTACTTTCACATCATTACGCGTCTAGATATATGAAAATCGAAGCTGATGGCGGCTCGAGATGATGACGAGCTGGTTTAATGGCCCCCTTGGGTCGCTGTAACGACTTTGTGATTTTTCAGCGTCGATAGAGAGTATTAATTAAATCGTTACTTCGTATACGAAATTCCTCGACTTCCGGATTTAAGCCTCTGGCTCCGCGTGGAACCGTTAAAACACAGGCCTCGAAAGATGTACAATTAATGATACCTTTCAAACTACCATTTACCTGCTTCGCCCAAAGTGTCCAAAAAAAGTTGTAAAAAATTGTTTTGTGTAATTTACAAAGTTACGTTGAGAATGTATACGTACACTCTGTAATTTTTACGAAGAAAATATTTATTCTTTTTATCAAAGGACGAGATAATTGTCTCAAGGTCTCTTCTTCAGACGTTCCGACGCTCGTTCGAGTTTTCTCGTTGCACGAATAACCACCTGCAGAGCGGCTGGAATCGTATTATAAGTAGGTCGTGCAACTTCTTAACGAACTATCATTAGTTTCACGAACTCTGTCGACACCTTTGCGTCACTCGCCGTCTATTGTCGGACGTTCAATTACACTCGTGTTTGCTGACTGCGTGTTCGCGATCAAAGGACTCATAAATTGCTTCTCTCGCTGTTCGTTGTAAATTATCTGTTGAGACGAAACGAGTTTCACTCGTGTCTAATAATTATTATCAGTGTCTGTTACGTTCTGTAATATATTGCGACGAGTTTCGTTTTCGTTGGTAAAATGTTCTTCGAGTGACATTCGACGATGGAGCTCGATCTTCTTTATCGATTCC